AAAATGATTGTGTTATCCAATTATACGTAATAAACTGGGCATTTCTACCTGGAAAACAGGATTATGCTCAGATGGAGACACTTACCACAGAGACAGCCAACTCCAGCCCCAGGGAGACCCAGCTGATTACCAGAGCCACTACACCAAAAAAGCACACCCTGGAGAGAGCATAAGGAGGTGAGAAGTTCAAGTATCTGCACTGTTAGGGCAAAACTATTCATATTTACAACATTAATACAGTGTAGAGGGAGATATGTTTAAGCTAATTAAGTTGGTCCTTTAGAAGGAGTCAAGTCTTCACAACCATCACATTAAGTGCAAACACTGATCTCATCTCCAAACACTGTGTCGACACTCGACGTGTTAAACCACAGAGAGAACTTCAAGCATTGCCATTACTGTGTATGTATCTTAATATGAACAAATTAATTATCTCTTTACATATTTAGCTTAGAGATGCTTTGCCCTTATCTGCCATTAAAGGAAAAACACTTAGTGGTCTAAATTATATGAGGGATTTATGTTAATATTTTCTTTGGCTCTTTTGCATTTACTTTATTATTTTTAGTGCCTATAAAATGCAAACAGCCATTTTATAGCAGCTCTATTTAATATGAAACAGTAACCAAAAATATATGGGCAAACCTGTAGATTTAAGTGTGTCATTAGTATAGCAGGGTGTGATGCTTATGCTAAATGACTTGTGACTGGGCTGATATTTTATAGAGCATGAATTCATCCTGACTAAACTGTTATGACAAGGTGGCCCCGATCAGCTGAAGGCTTCGTGTACAGTAATTGCCTCTCATTCTGTGACGACAGCTCAAATAATTTCCCAGGACAGAACCATTTTCCCTGACGTGCTCTTGTGGCTGCGATCTTGTGATGAGACTCACCCTATAAGCGTTCCCTTGGAGTTGCGAATGAGGCCAAACAGCACCAGAAGGCAGATGAGGACATCGAACAGTAGCAGGCCTATGTAGCCCAGCCACCTGTGAAGACAAGTGTCATTAACAACAAATGGCCAAGTGCAGCACAGCATACCATCTCTCAATTAAAAAAAGAACTGCATCTCCGAGGCGAGCACAATAATTCAAACACAAAATTCTTATTCTATAAACACACATTATTTTGAGGTAGATTGTTTTCTAAGGAGGAGATTTTTGGTTTCTTTTGGCATTTTAATTTATTGAAGAATTACAATTAAACCTGCAATTATAGATTTCCTGGCCACACTGGGAACAGCCACTTGTTTTAAACACAACATGCCTTCCTCTTTTAAGCTGATATGGTGAACTGGCAAATGTAAGTCCAATATTCACTCCCTTTGAGCTTTGCTTATCGGCTTTAACGATAAATTCTCCACTATGTTCACCACCTCCTCACTTACTGTCCGTCTACTGTTTGGTGCAGAGCAGATACTGTACCAGCGGGCTTTTAGAAGTTTTTTCACTAAAATCAGCTCCTGCTGTGACAAAAATGACACTTTGAGAGCCAGACAGCTAAACAATGAGCTGAAACTCACTATAAAGCTCTACAAAGGCAGGAGGCTGCTGCATCACTACGAGAGACCCCTTTTCACATTGTCACATTGTTTTCACATTGTCATCTGATTTTGTTATTATGAAAGTATCAATTTGAGCTGCTTTTTGGATGACAGAAGTGACCTTGCAACCCCTCAATATACAGTTACAATGTGTATCTCTTATCTTTCCTGCTTTGAATTCATGTTAGTCTGTGACATTCGATAAAAAACACAGTGAATTATTTGCATATTTATAATATTAAGCACATATGTAAGCAAACCCAGTATGGCCAAGGGGGATTACCACCACTCTTGAATTTGTTTTTACCAAATTGGGAAGCTCAGCGCATGTTTAAGACTCTTGGTAAGTCAGCTGCCTAAGTAAATGCTGAACTAGTACGTCTCAATCTTGTTGTCTGTGCTTGCATCCGCTTCCTACTTCAGTTTCACTCAGAGATTTTAATGCAGAAACATATCCAACAGAGCAGCCTCAGCTAGCACTCCCACCAGGGAAGAGACCAAGTAACTTTCAACTTTTCAACAGTATATAAAGTCAGAGATGAGCGAAATCTTCACAAGGAAGTGAATTAGTGTATTAGATGGTGTGTGTCTGCAGTGAAAGTCTATTATTGTGATGTACCACATGAATCATAGTCTGTTGTTGTTTAAGATGCTTCTCAGCACTACTGCCACTCCTCACTCTGCAGCCTCAGAGAGGAGCTGAATGTAAGTTTTATTTATTAATCTGCACACCACGCTTTTTTTTTGGAATGATGCTTGGACAGCACTATCACAGTCTTACCTGTACCAGTCATACAGCTCAATCTTAACAGCCAGCTCCTCCAATGAGATATTGGTGTTGCCCCAGAAGGGAATCTCCACCATCTGTCTGACTAGCTCATCCAGCTGGCCCTGCAGCTTTTGGATGATGGACAGGTAGTCTGCATGCTGCGCATACTGGCCCTCAAGCTGTTGCAGATTGTCGTCTACCGTCTGGTTCAATGAGGATGTACCGTCATATACCTAGACCCAACACAGGGACAAACAAGGTCATGATGGAGTTTGGGGGAGGAAAAGGGGGATTCACTACACAGCTCTAGTGGTAGAGGAAAAAACCAGGAATACTCGTGGCAGAAGGACGATGAATTATTAAACGTGTTGGTATAATTTGTGCTCTTACCAGCTTCTGCACCCCAGTGATTGTGCGGTTAGCATGGCGCAGGGAATACGTCAGCCGATTCACTCCATCACAAGTCTCGCCGTTCCCATAGAAACCGACAGCAATGCCAGCGCTGACGGGAGACAAAAGGAAGGGAGGGGAGACGGGGTGGTGAGGAGGAGGGATTAGTTAAAAAAGACACAGAGAGAAGACAGAGAAGACAGCGAGCGAGGGGGATAGCGAGGCAGGGAGAGAGGCGTGTGAACTCTACGTTAACCCTGTCGGTTCAGACCCCAGTCAACAGGCTCCTTTCAGCTCCAGCAGAAAGACTCCATACAGAACCATGGAGACACAGAGGAATGGACCAGCTATGCCCCAAACCCCACACTACGGCTGACAAAAGCTGTACTGAGGCAGGCGATCAGCTCCCATTTGCACAGACAGGACTCAGGTTGCAGAAAAACAGTTCAGACAACTGCATGGGAAACAGTTTCTATAGATAGACGGACAACAAAATATTTCTACAATATTTTAAAACACTCTGAAAATGTATGTGTGTGTTTAGGAGAGAGAAAAAGCTGTTCAGTTATATTGATTTGTATGTTCTCTACATTTCAGTAACATAAATAAAGTCCCTTTCCGCACTCTGAGAAGCAATTGCAAGTGAAAACCACCATCTCTTCCTGTGCTGCAGCTGTTGGTCTTTTTGCTGACTCCCTTCCTATCCCAGGAGGGATCCGATCAAATAGGATAATGATCGAATCACTCCAAGCTGAGTCGGACCAAGTCTAACAGTGTTCAGCCAACAGCACTCAAAGAATCAATGGGTTTTCTCTCTTCGTGGAGGGCTGCTAATCTCTTCCTCTCACACTCCGCAGTGTAAAAAAGGTGAACAGGGGCAGAGTCCCAGCAAAAACAAAACCAACCTCCCTGCTGTGATGTGAACCTGCGGAAACTCTGTACTGCTCTTTCAATATTGGAGGACACAACACTAACTGGGAAAACACACAGAGAAAAAAAGAAGATAATCCCAATATCACAGGCATGCAGAGCTTTGTTCAATGATACCAAGCATGGACTTTGTCAAAGAACAAAAGCAAAGCAAAACAGAACAAACAAACCATCTCCCAGATATATATATGATTCTCTACAACTAGTTTTTCCTGCTTTAACTAAAACACATTAGTGCGTGGGCGCAAGCACCCACAGATACAGTGATTGTAATGCAGTTCTGGTACTCATCAGGTCCCCAAGCTCTTTGTGCTACTCTGAATCAACCGTGATGGCTCTCTAGTGGCCCATCAACAGGAGGAGGAAAACAGGAAACAAATGCAGTGTATAAGGATAGAAAGCATGTCCAGATGGTACAGTTCTCACACAATCTACTTCTAACATAAAAATAACCAAACATTAAATTGAAGCCAATCTATAGGGCAGTCCTATAGTCTTTGTGCTTTCAGCGTGCACACATGCAAACATACATTTCTCTCAGCATTGCTGTACAGACCCAGCAGGAGTTTTTTAAAGTAAGCTGTAGTTTTTCTAGCTTACAAAGAAGCTTATAACGTACATATTTAACCATGCAATTGTGTGGTTGTCAGTCAGGGTGTAAGTCTTGCCTTGGACACTCAGTTCAGGGTAATAAAGTCCTTTGGATCTCCACTAAGAAGTTATTTTACTGAAATGTAAAATAAAAATTTGACCTGGGATCATTGTGTGTGGTTAACTGAGGGCATTTGCCAAATATGCAGGCATATTCTCTTGTTGGCAAGTTAATACACAAATATTGAGGTGATTGGACAAAATTTAAAACCTCTGCAAATGTGGAGAATTACAGAATTTGTGTTTACTATCGTTATTACAAAACTCCATGTTCCTGGAGTTACTGTAGGTTGGTTTGGTGTCCTTGGCGCAGAGAAGCAGGCTGGTTCAGGTTAGTTCTTGCCTGACCACATCATTTACATATTTAGCTCCGATTGGCCAGTTGTTGACCGATGTCCTCCTCCTGTATATTAGTCTCTGGGTGTGCGAATACAAATTAGCTAGTCTTAATAATACAACTGGCGAACGACGCTCTGATCCCGTGTTTGTACTCACCTGCAGACAAGTGTTGCAATGATGACACACCAGGCGGTGCAGCAACAGTCAGCGTTGCTCCGCTCCTCATTTTTGTTCCGCCGGCAGCACAAACAAATGGAGTAGAAGAGCAGGAACAGGAGGTCCAGGGCCAGACAGGCGAGTGCCACACCCCCCAGCAGCAGGATGGACTGGTGGACAGAGGGATGGGGTTATGGAAACTTTATTGCACTTTCAGATCAATAACAATGTGGATAATGGGCTACCGAAGTGTGTCACAGGGAGACAGTATGCTTAGAAGAAAGAGCACAGACGTTCAGATACATTGCCTTCTTAACTGCTGAATATCTTGCATTATTACTTTATTGATTTGTGTGCATTTGAAGCTTTAATAAATATACTATTTGCCACACAGGAGCTACAATTCTCTTCATCTCTGTCCTACATTAAACTGAAGGGAAGTTTTGTGCACAAGTGAGAGGAGCACTCAAGCACTATAATCAGGAGAAAACATCTCTACAATGTGTGTCATGTCTCATCTTAGTCTGTTGTTTGGAACGAAAAATAAAAGGTGCTTTTGATTTTGATGAACAGCCTGTTAGTGCTGTCTTTATTGTACACAAATTAACTGTGAACTCGATCGCTTAGAGGCAAATGAAGCAACAACCACAGTACTAAAAAGCCCTCTTTCAAGTGATTTAGTACAAAAGTAAAAGAAGAATGGAGAGACACTTCCTAAAAAAAAACTGTTAATATCTGCGGCATATTACAACTATCAACATTATACAGTGGCAGAATTTCAACAGTAGCAGTAGAGCAATATATTATCATGGTCAAACCTCTCAGACAAGAGCAGCACTTCCTATGTAGGTCAGACAGAGGGCCGCTGTGTTCACTGTTTACTCCTGAGGATTCGCGGCTGGGACAGATTTCCATCCTGCACTTTTGTTTAGTAAAAACCCAGGGTTGTTCTATTTGTTCGGTTTGCATGCAACGATGCATCGCAGTGACTGACACGCCCTGATGCAGTGGCGGTCAACTTGTTTGACAGTGAGTGAACTCAGTCTTGGAACAATTGCAGGCTCAAAGCAGAGTCTTGACAACACAATATTTGACTGTGATACAAACAAATAACAGAGTGGAGAATCAGACACAAATACCACTGAATGACTTGGCGCTTGTATGGTGCTTTGCTCAGTTCAACCCGATCGGGTTCACTGAGTGCAACAGCAATCCATGAATAAACACCATAATCCTATCACATGTTACTTGTGGTGCCATCATATCATCTGCGCATCAGGTAAGAGTGACAAATTCAAAGGCACCCAAGGAGGTGACGCAGTCCTGTAGTTAGCACCACTGAGAGCGCAGCCATCTGGACAAGTCAAGACTTCCCCTGAAGCCGGAGTGAGAGCACTGCATCGACAATAATTACCAGTCTGTCATCACAGTGGGTTAATAATTATGGTTTAGTTAGATGACCAAGTGATGAGCTCTTACGTTTGGCTCTTGTTGTAATAGATGTGTGTAGGGGGTGAGATAATGTCCTCACACAGCTGTTATACCTGTGCGATAAAATGTGCATTCCTCTGATCATATTCCCACAGGCTATCCCTATCCTTCTAACAGTGATGTTGTTTACGTTGAACTTGTAGCCGTGTACACCGGGCGCCAAACCACCATTATCCCACCAATGAATTCCCGTATCCTACCAGGAAAAGGCTCCCAATAACACCTGAGGGAGCTGGAATAACAGCTGTGAGCTGGTACAGTGACGACCCTTTTTAGCGCTCCAGTGTCACCTCAGGTAAACAGTATATTCCTTAAATGTTTTCTCCGAAGTGGGCCCCATGAAACCTGACATCAAACATCTGACACCTGCACAAATGACTCAAAGTGAAACGAGGATGTCGTTCACCTTTTATTACTTTCATTTTCAAGCATGAATGTCTGTGCAAGCGAAAGCACATCGCGGCTGCTGACGGCGATACGTGTCTGGAATGTGTCTGAAAGAAGTCTTCCTGTTTCTTAGGAACCGTGATCCACTTCAGGATTTTCTGAATCGTACTTCCACAGAAAAAAAGAGAAGTAACATTATCTAATGGCTTCCACCCATGTCTGCCAATTTTTCACTTTAGTTGGAAATCAACCCTCTGTCTCTTGTGATTCCAGTAGCCTTTCCAACTCATTACAAGTCTTCCACAGCCTTTTAAAAACCACCATTTAGTAATGACGCATTTTCAAAAACAAGGTCCATTAATACATTAATTAAAGATAACCGCTGTTACTTTAGGGCCAAATGATGTCGGTACATTAAGTCTTTATACGACAGATTAAGTTAAATGAACAGTTTAATCTGCTGTTTATGTATTCCTTAACTTCAGACAACACGTCCTTCAGAAGATCACCACCTGACACAATCAATTAACCCTTTTTTTTGTGGGTTTATGCAGAACCACATCCCTGGATCTTGATCTACATAACCTGCACACCAACTGAGGCCAATTTAGACCAAATAGGTCAATTTAGGTGGCATGGGTGTCACTATACAAAGCCAGCTGGTTGGTGTCTGGAAAAGGTCAAGATGCAACAGCTACACACAGATGGTGGCATGGATAAAAAGGTGAAGAGAAAGAACAGGTGCAAACAGGTCATCTGTCAATCACAAGGAGCGACAGTTTCCACTTTAAATTTAAGGCTGCGGACACAAAGAAAGCACTGAACACAATGACATTCTCCTCATTATCCTGCCTTGAATGTGGACACAACTGAAACAAACACTAGCTGTGAACATGTCTGCAGGCCTCTGTAGAATCACAACTTCTGGGGTTATTTGAGACGATGCAAAAAGGGGGTCGGTGAGGTGTTTTTACCTGTTGATATGTCCAGTCCTCTGGTTGGAAATCACTGCTCGTTTGCTCGAACTTTAAGTTGAAATGAGGAAGTCTGTGCAGGAGGTTCACCCACCACGGTGGAGAGTAGCTCACCACTGCTGCCATGGCGAGTAAATGTCAATGAGATCCTCTCACCGAACAAACAAGCAAGGATGCTTTAAAAAAAGTCTGTCTGCGTCCGGGATGAAAGACAAAAACAGTGTAGCGTGAGAAACCAAGTGAGCAAGCTAGCCAGACACACGACCACCTGGTAAAGTTCAAGCGTCAAAAATATGTCATTTTACACCTAAAACTGGCAATCAATTCATAATTTAAAAAAAAAAAAGCTTTTTAGTATTTGAAATTACAAGCACGGCCAGAACAACAGCTAGCAGGTCGCTAACATTAACTAGTAGCTGAAGCTTAGCCGAGCTAGTTAGCGTGTTAACCCGACCGCCTGTATCATCAATGTGGTTCCTCTAACCGGTACCGTGTTGTAATGTTAGCTGTTCGTGGTCCATTTAAGTTATTTTAGTGCAAAAACATTTTTTTTTTTCTTCTTTCTTTAAGCCAGTTATACCCGTAATGTAGCTCGCGTTAGCCGGTGTAGCTGCTGGTTAATTCACTCCGCTGAGACGAATAACAACAAGAAGTCTCTTTTGTTCCACTTGACATTTCTGCTCTGCGGTTAGTTACATCCTGTTTCTGGTTCTGCTCCTGCTGCCGGTTCTTCTGCTCATCTCTTGTAGTCTTATTCCAACACAGCAGCCCGAACAAGCACCTCCGAGTTAAACCTCCATCCAGTTATTAACCGAGCAGGGAGACTGGGTGTGGGGGGGGGGCAACACGGCGACTGTTCACGACACTCACCCAGCTGCCAGGTTGCCCGGCCCGCACACAGAGACACAGCACCGGCATTAAAGTGGCCCAGCAGCGCCACCCAGAGGCCGCCACAGGGTGGAGCTATAATGGGAGGTTCGAGTAGCGTCGGATTCATTGGGACTACTTGTTCAGATGAGGTATACGACTGAGAAAGCGGGGGGTTTTCTAGGGATGTGACTTCGGCTAAAAGCATGAAGCTAGCCCAATAAAAGGTTAAAACTTGTTAAAACTTTAACAGGTACATTAAAATCTCCATCATGTAGTTGTGCCGCCCGTTTTTTTTTTTTTTTTTTAAATCCGCACACTGTTACGACGAAGAAGGAACTTAGAAGCTGGGGTTTACAATGGTCTTTGAAGGCAGCGTTAGTTGGCTTTGCATTTGAAGAATGAGGAACATTAAATCAAACCAAATTTACCCGCACAAGTGAAACGAGGAAATAAACGGGCATAAATAAGACAATATTTCCCATAATATTTAGTGAAAAGTAGACAGCACTATCTGATCAGCTGGTTCACAGAGACAGGGGCTTGCTGGGATATAAACACAAGCGCCAGCGTTTCTTCACATCTTCAAGATTTGTACATGTAGATAAGGACAGGACACGTTCATTAGCAGCCGGTGCATGTAAGTGTCGGGTTATACTGCTCTGCTCCACACTTGGACTTTAACCAGCGCTCACTACAACTTTAAGAAATAAATTACTTGTTTTTTCTTTTCTGCAGGAAATCACATGGAGGTGCTCTTGTGCTCACATGACAGTCTTAACCATGGCAGGAGAGATCAATGAAGGTACAGTACGAAAACTTCTTTAGTCTTCCTAACACAGTGTTGCCATATCATTTCCTAATTACTTTGCACTTTTGTTCGGTGTTGCGGTCTCGAACCGGTAAAACAAACGTCGTTTTAGTTGTTTAAAAATGTGGATGTTTCTGCTCGGTGAGGTTGCGATGTGAACTAACCAATGAGAACTTTTGGGTACATGAAGATCTCGGAATTAAGTAACTCCATCTAAAATCCCCTCCCTGAATGATTCATCCTGTTTTGACTCGCATGCTGTGAATGTTACTTTTAAGGGTAATTCCAGAGGTGCAAAAGGTTTATTTGAAGTTTTGATGCTCTTTTCCTGCCACGTGAAAAACAGTTCAGTACATTTGGCAGCACACTTGCAGGCATATACTGAAATCATCTCACTGTAATGCTCCCATAAAGGTTGTACTGAGAATGTTTTCTTTTTATTGTGGCTGAAAATATTACAGCTTTGGAAAACCTTTAAATTATCCGAGCAAAACTATATCTGACTATAGATGATATGAAGTCATATGATGGGGAAATAAAATGTGTAGTCCCATAAAAAGTGATAACCTCAGTACTGAGTACCACTGATGTAGTAAAAGTAAGGTCCTCCTATTAAAGGGATTTTTCATGAGGAGTATGCTGCACATGACATATCTCTTATACTTGGGGTGGTTGTGATGCTATGTAGATGTTGTTCCTCTTTTAGGCTCAGTTCCTGCCTATTACAGGGAAGTATATGAGGCCATCTGCTGTAGGACAGATGAGAGAGTGCAGGTTGAAGTTTTTCAGCGGTTGCTCCACAGGACCGATCTCTCCAAGGCGGTTTTAGGCCAGGTGAGGGGTTCACACTTTAATGTACTGTGGGGGAAAAATATGTTAAAATGCAACCTTTTTATAAAAAGCTGCCATGTAACTGTAGTTTGTAATGACAGAGGCAGCAACCAGCATAAACAACAGTAAATAACATTTTCAAAATTTCAAATGAAGACTAACCAATGCTGAGACTTGTGTTTTTATACTCAAAGTAATACATAAATAAATTAAACACTCCATGATATCCTTGAGCAAATATTTGTTTGATTCTGATAAGACATTGTGTTTTGTGTGTTAATATTAGGCAATACAGATAGTTTAGATATAGGTGTAATGTCCTATCAACAGGTAGGTGTTACCAGCTTTGTGTTAAAGACAGGGGCTTTAAATAATTTGCTGTTAGATTTGGTTCCTTTAACAGTGAGATATAGGCTAGTGTTATGCAATTTCTCTGAATGTGTAAAGTCTGTGCAATATTATTTCAGAGCCAGCTCATAGTTCAGTAGAATTTTTCCTTTTCCTGACATTTCAGCATATCATCGCCTTTGTGTCTAGTGAGCACTTTTTGCATGGAGGAATGCTAACCACAGTTCAATTTAGACGTTGGAGTGAAAAACGGTGACCGTCACGTCATGTCTTTGTCCTTCTCAGATTGCTGAGCATGTTGACTCCACAGATGGATTCCTGAGCAAGTTGGCACTCTACAAAGCGCTCGCTTTGATTGCTCTTGCTCAGCAAGGAAAGCAACCAAGCCCCAAACTCCTGGAAAACTGCATACAAGGTAGATGACAGTGTTACAGTGACGGCAGAGAGCAGTAAACTTCTGCTTAATGAGTAGCTTGATCATTCCTTTCGGTGTCTAAAGGCAACTTCAGCCATCCCTCTACTGTTATATTTTATCGGTACAGGGCACATGTCCTTCTTTTATTAGCTCACATAGATTCATGGTTTCATTCATAATAGTATTCCTCTGTGATAGTTTACCACTGGGATACACCCACCCATTGCTATTGATATACTAATAGTTATAAAGTAACAGGAGGGCACTTTATTTAGTGTATTTGTACAAAAATATACATTTTCATCCCATAGTTTTTGTCTCTTTCACAGCAGAAGAAAAGAGAGCATTTTTATTTAATTCAGCGTCATTTGTTTTATTTTATTTTGGTAGAGAAGCCTGAGCTATGTTTAAGTGTTGCATTCTTTCTCTAGGTCCAGAGTGGGAAGATGATAGTGGGGAATTTTATGGTTTTCATAGAGGTAGCCATTATGCTGGCTTCAGTTAGATCCATTCCCAACCTCCTGTGATTATTTAAGGCTCTCTCTGTTATTTCAGGTGTGGCCAGTATGGCAGCTAGCTGCATGCCACTTCCTCATCTGTACAAGAACAAGTTTTCTGCATTTGTCGCAGTACATCACATTCAAATTCATGACCTTCTAGGAATGTGCCGGAATGGATGAATAACAGTTCACACGGGCACCAGGCACAGTACTATGCTAGCTAGAGACAAATAGAGCGCGACACGTAGTGAGCTGTTGAAGAAAGAAAAGTGGTTTTAACACCAGCATTCCTGACAGTTAGGAAATTCATTTCATTCTAGATGTATCTGTTATTCATCAAAAACAAATATTAGGAGTTGGTGCTGGTTGTGTGCTTGACAGAGTTACCAAAACCTCAGCTCGGGGAGCCCAGGGACCTGAGGGCATTAAGGATGCAGCCAGCACAGGAGGACGTACTGACATTGTCCCAGACACTGGACAAACTGCTGGCCCGAGACACAGTCCAAGTGGAGCTCATACCTGAGAAGAAGGGCTTGTTCCTCAAACATGTGGAGTATCAGGTCACCAGCCAGGCAAGAAATCCAAAACATCCTACTGCATGGAAATGACTGTGTTAGAAAAACCTCAACTAGTGGTGCAGTATTCTTGTCTTATCCTCACTTAGATGACATTTAGTGACATCTTCTCATTTAACTTGCCATTTTTCTCAATTATGTGTGCATTTAATTGGGTTGAAGTGGCAACACGGCTGTACTGCCGCAGAAATCAGTGCCAGTATTTTTTGTAGTCTGCCTAAAGAAAAGCACTGATTTCAACTATGTGACTAAATTTCCAACAACTTTTCTGATCATTTTCTTTCTCTGTTTTTTGTTTTTTTAGCGTTATAAAATATCAGTTTACCGACGATATAGCGATTTTGATGTCTTCCACGAGGTTTTGCTACAGAGATTTGCCTACAGAGTGGTCCCAGCCCTTCCACCTAAAAGAATGTTAAAAGGAGGTATGTTTACTCTGTGTGAGCTTTGACATCTACACAGTCACCATTGTATTTCTTTGTTTCTGCATTTCCTCCATCTTAGAGTCGTTATTTTTGGACCCATTATTTGGGTTTATGTGCTTTTAGTGAAAGGTCAGCTGTAAATATCCAGGGGGTTCTGGTAGCTGAGTGTTCTTTGGTTGATAAAGAATAAATGTTCAATTTAGAAACTGTTCCTGCAGGTTCTATTGTTTCAAACACAGTCATCCCCATTCATTAAAGCTATTGCCTGAAAGAAACAAGGAAACTAGTGATGTGTAAAATGAGCCTGTTTCAGTTCACAATAACTTATTGTAGCTTTGGAATGATAATTATGTCAACACACACACACACAGACAAGACTTGTTTAGACCATGTCTGAATTAGAGGTCTTCATCGAGTACAGAATATGTCAAAAAGATACCACACGTAAATCTGCCATCCTGTCAATTGTGCTCTTTTCCCCTGATTGTACTGGTATATATATGATCTACTTCAATGTGTATCTGATTATTCCTTTTTTCATTAAGTGCAGATAAGTAGTAAGATCCTGAAAACATAAAATTTACATGCAGTTAATTGAAGGGGTACTCCACTGACTTCGCATTGCACTTCTGTAACATTGTCATGATGAGCAGTTAAAAAGAAGTATTAAACTTGATGCAGCAAAAAGACCACAAGATCTATATTTTTTTTTAGTTCCATGCATTCTTTTTTGTAAAAATCCGGGGCCTACATTGCCCACAATGCAACTTAACCACAGACAGTTCAATGTTCATTTGGGTGTATTATGCTGTTAGCAGCTAATGTAGCCTCGAGCCGCTAACCTCAGGCAGAGATGAGGAGCGAGATAGAGGTCTGGTAAGCTCACTTCCTGTAGACAGCCATTGACTTATACAATTGGTGGAATTCTCCTTATATGTTTCTGTTTATTTAAAAGTGATACTATATATTATATAAATTATAGTTTATATAATAGTTTATAGCCACAGCTCTAGCAACGTTATTGCCTGTAAAGCTGCTTCATGTGTTCTCATTTCTTTCCTAGTCAAACAAATCCATAGATAGATTTTTGCTTCCTCTGGTATCTGTCCACAGTCTTGACCTCTGTCTCTGAGCGTGAGTTCATTGAGGGGAGGAGACGTGCTCTTGGCAGATTCATCAACTTGGTGGCAAGGCATCCCTTCTTCTCAGAGGATGAGTTGGTCAAGACCTTCCTCACCTTCAATGGCTCCGTATGTAGTATTTTTGCTGCCTCGGTCTGTGGCCCGGGCTGTTGCACAATAAGCATTATCATCATGATGACTGACAGTGAACTACATCCTGTTCCAGCTACTCAGTGTCTTTTTCCACTCACACACTCCCCACCCTTCTTCCCAAACAGGATGTTCAGACTAAGCTGCGTGACACTTACAAGAAAACGGGCGATGAGTTCATGACCAACAGAATTGCAACCCAGGCAAAGGTTTGTCACATATGCACAGTGGAAGAACCCACCAAACACTTACCAATTAACAACTGCATTTAAAATTTCAATCAGCTTTGTTGGATCTGTTTTTCTAGGAATATCTACCCGCCGATATTCAGGCTCAGTTCTCGTCAAGCAGAGAGCTCATTAGAAATATTCACAACAGCTTCCACAAGCTGCGGGACAGAGCAGAAAAAATGGCGGAGCGCTCTAAGGAGAATGCAACTGATCTTCTCATGTTTGGCAGAGAGCTCAGGTATTTCATTATCGGTATAAAGTTAAAGTCTTCCACTATCCAGAGGTTTTGGACTGGGAAAACAATAAGATTCCAAATCCTCTGTGTTGTTCTGTGTTTTCATGGTTTTTAGCTTGAAATTAATTTGGCAGCTAGAACACTTCAGTGTTACATTCTGCCTCTGTAATAATGCTGTTTTCTGCAGCGCGTTGGGCTCAGATGCTTCGTCTATTCCCTCCTTGGCCTCCTCACAAAGCACCTGGGGGACCCTGCGTCAGTCTCTGAAGAGTCTGTCTGTGGAGTTTGCTGTGCTGTCCGACAAAGCTTCTCAGCAGGTACAGCCCTCAGTCCTTCATCCCCACCACCTGCTCTGTTGTGCTTGTCCAAAACTGGCACTGGGTAATAAATGTTGTTTTGCTAATGTCCTCAGGGCAGACGGGAAGAGGATGATGTTGTGGAAAAACTGAATCTTTTCTTGGATTTGCTGCAATCGTACAGAGTGAGTCAGTTACACTTTTGGTCTTTGCTGAGCTCATTTACCTTTCCACTTTCAAGGGGTCCCCAACATTGCCTGACAGGTGATTTTTTTTGCAGAACTATCTGTTTTCATAAAGGCAATAAAATCAATTTTCAGTTTTTATGATGGAAAGACACAACAAGGAGTTGTATATTCAGTAAATCCTGGTCCAATTAGTTACACAATTCAGGATATTGGGTTCATTCATTTTAACAATAATGCACCTCATTTGGAGATTTTTGAGATGAGTTTCCCCCATTCACTATGAGAGAGGAGAGCTTTTATGCGACTATGCTTTTCTCTAGGATCTCTGTGAGCGACACGAGAAGGGCGTGCTCCACGAGCACCAGAGAGCTCTGCACAAGTACAGTGTGATGAAGAGGCAGATGATGAGTGCCACGGTGCAGCCCAAAGAGCAGGCATCTGTGGAGCAGCTGGAATCTCGAATTGTTCAGGTGGTCTCACAGTTTCTCTCTTTCCACATATTGAGGCTGTCAGGATGCTTCCTGACTGAGAGCATACTGTTTGAAGTCATTTAGTACTTGATAAATAAAATGCTAAATTGGCCTGAGCATATCTATTGGCAATACACTCACAACATCCACTGGGTATGAGTAAAAGTGATATGGGATATCTTTTTTTTATATACAGTTTGTACCAAATATTCTCACACTATCATACATTTTCCAATTTTTAAATCAATAACCATACAAGCTTTTTCAGTTGAATTTAGACCATTTGAAGTGAACAAGTACCTCTAATGCTGCAGCATACTTTCTATTGGAATGGTTACCCTTGATTTTCTATTGAAATGTTCAATGTAGGGGGGCAGATACAATAATAACTCTGAATGAACCAAATCACTATTTCAAACATGGGTACAGAGCTGAGTCATACTAGGTTTAATACCAATTAACAGCATTTGTCAGCTTGCGGTATTCTGTCGTATCCCTGCTGGTTCTCATCTTGTGACTGTTAGTCAGTGTGGTTCTTCTGTGTTTGGCATATGTGGTTATAAATTTCTCTCAACGATATGAAATACTTTGGCGGTTTCTGACTAATGCACTTGCAGTTTGTGCTTAGACAATCGTATTAACTGTGATTGAGTTACTTGAAAATTTAAGTCTCTTTCCATGAGGTGTTTAGATTATGACATCAACAGACAGGATGTTGTTTATTTCCATATTTGATATGCTGTCAGAAATGCGCAGCATTGTATTTTTAAAGGTACATTAACAAACAAAAGCTGCCATAAGCCATTTAGTCATAAAGTCGAACATGAATCTGTGCGTAGTCCAAAGTTATTTCACAGAAATCACGAATGTGAAGCCAGAGGAAGTAGGATTCATAATAATATAATGAGTGTTTGTATATTCATGGCAATCCATCCAACAGTTGTTGAGATTTCAGTCAAACCCACAGACGGACAGACAGACCGACATTACTGGTAGAATAAAAACAGATATTAGTAATAGTAGAGTAACATGCTGAGAATAATGCACCCTGCCATGCAAAGTCATATAACTATGATTGTTTCTCTCCATTGCCTGGTGCAAGCTTGTATGGGGCTTCTTCATTAGTGAAGACCCCAGTGTTGGTGTCAGTAACAGTGGATGAGTTGGTAAAAAACAGGATTAAGAAATGGTGAAGTTGTGATTCAGATCTAGAGCCAATTAAAATGTAATGAAATGACTTAAGGGCATCACCTTGTTTTGGTAATATGAGCAGAGCTTTATCGGCCTCGTCTCATCTCTGGTATCATTGGAGGAAAAATTCCCCTCAGAAAGCTTTTTTTAAAACGGATTATTATCATTTAAAAAGTGGCATCAATTTCACAATTTGTTTTTTTAATTATTATTATTATTCTGTTATTAGCAAGAAAACGCCATTCAGACGATGGAGCTGCGGAACTACTTCTCCCTTTTCTGCCTTCATCAAGAGACACAGCTTATCTTCATCTACCTTCCAATCACATCCCACATTCTGGGGGCCTTTGTTAACTCCCAGGTCCAAGGACACAGAGAGGTGAGGCTGCTTGTCTGGAAATCATTTTTCTACAGAGCCTTCTTTACATTGACACAGTACCGCTCCAGGAGGGTCAAATCAGTTTTAAATTGGCTTCCAACGAAATAACTAATAATGATGGATGGTATCACTAGAGGGATAATCTCCCTGTCTAGGATTTAAGCTGGCTTCCATTTCACATGAACAAATGAATCTCTCATATGCCTTTGCTTATTTATTTATATTTAAATAATTATTATAAATCAAATAAAGCACACAGGATATATTTCTTTGGTTAGATGCCTTTTTCAGACCTTTTTTTCACTGCCAATATGGTGGCATTCTAAAAAGGTGTCTGTGGATATTTCAGTACTTGAAGATCATTTTAATTGTTGTTGTTTCCTGAAAATGATTACCTGCAAACCACTAAGCAATATTTTGATGCAATGAATTCTATTAGTATAATGAGCTTCATGGTTCATGGAATTCTAGGTAAAGAGAAGTGACTTATTGCTTTCTTTTCAGATGGGAGAGGTGTGGAATGAACTCCAGCCAAAGCTTGGGTGTCTCTTTGGTGGTAATAATGGATTGAAACCACCCACCTGAAACCTAAAAACACGAGGTGGAAGGAGAGAAACACTGCCGCTGACGAGGATCACAAACTGGACAATTACTCTCTGTGTGCTACAGAAAAGTGTTGAATACACAATTTTTTTTCCTTTTACAAAATTGTCTATTTGACAATATACATTCCATTTAATAAGAGAATTTTTTTACTGTAAATGGGTTGATCAACAATCATGTGAGTGGAAAAGACAGTGGGCTCATGCATCTACCATTACATGCTGCTTGATAAGGAAAAGAATAAATAAAATAAAGGAAATTACTCTAAATGTTATTTTATAAGGGAGCAGTCAGCATGTGAGACTTGAAGTATATTCATGCATCCCAACTAAAACCCTAAATCACGTTTTATACACTAAGATAGTTGAAAAAAAATGAGTTTTACTTTATTAAAGGATGAGATTATTTTAAATCTCCAGTCATCAAGGGTTTTGGTTTTACTTACTGAATAACTTTAGAACAATGTATTTTTGATACAGATTTTAGTTTATAAGGATATGTAGCAGCATACTTTAAATTTTTATGGACAATTGTGCTATTTCTCATAATGTTAAAGTGTTTACTTTTATGTAGAGCAACATATCTGCCCTCCCCTTTTTATTTCATAAGCTATTTTTGAAAGGCTTATGCTCAAAGTATACAACACAACAAAGGGGAAATATTGAGATTTATTGATCAAAAACAACCTCTGGCATTAGTGGCATAATGTCAACAGTAACACTATAAGCTATTGATTCACCACCAAAGATATGATATAAATTCACTAAAATACACAGCTGTGCAATAAATCATATAACAGGATTCTACACAGTTCAAATTCAATAATCACTACTTTTTTATGAAGATTTTTGGCCATATCACTGTAATAGATGATTATTATTCACAGTTACAGACATGATTGAAATGTGTGTAATGTGTATCAGGGCAAAGAAGATCTGGATATTGTTCACTTTAAAAGCTATTAGACTTAATGCTTTTCAGATATTTGGTGTAAAAACAATGCACATTTGTATTTGTACACATACAGTTTATCAGAACTTGTATATTGTTTTCTGAAAACAACAAATATTAAAAATCAAAAAGGGACAATTGTTTTGGAAGTTACATCACCAACTGATCAGCTGAAAATACACAGAACTGAAATTTGTGTTGAAATGAGTGACGCAAGAATACAAATCAGGATGTGTGCACAAAGTTCAACATTTATTTTCTGAAGAATACTGTGCATACAGTATGAAACATTTGTTTGTGGAAAAAAAAGTATTATCAAGAATCTAGTTAACTTGCACAGAATATGAAACACAATAAATGTACTACTGTAGATATTGTAAATATTTTATTCAAGAAATCCTTGCTGAATTGTGTTAAATGAGTTATTCTGAAAAATAAAATGACACAATGGTTATTTCTTTTAGTGTACTGCTGCTTTGATTTGTTTTTGGTTTGAATTTGAAACTGATTGGAAAAAAAGGTAATATTTAAAGAAAAAGTTAAATCACTATGTTACAGTATTTTTTACATGTAAACTCTACAATGTACAGTTAACGTGGTTTTGTTGAGTCCTCAGAGTCCCGCTGTTTCCTCCCACAAATGAAACTGAACCGTGTGACATCTTCAACATTTAAAGAAGAAATCTGGAAGGTTGGTACTTTTTTAAATAAATTTCCTCAGAAACTCAGTTCCCCCCCAGGTTGTCTCACAGCTCCTCCACTTCCTCCAGTTTGTGGCTGAGAATCACATCGTGCCCCTGAAACTTGAAGTATCCAACAAATTTCTTCTTTTGGAGCATCAGGGGGAACCACAGGATGTCATCAGCCCACATCTGACTGAAAGGAATTTGGTGACATTCAAACCACTGAGGCCTCATTTCTAGAAAACAAAGACAAAATAAGACACATTTGTATCATGTACCTTGAGATGTTGCAAGAGTTTATCACCAACTATCACCCAGTTTTTTTGCCACTTCTTCACCTTTCTCAATTAATGCCCAGGACATAGCTGGAATCAACCTGATTCATCTTACCTGTTCTCTACGAAGAAAGTGTTCTTTTAAATAGAAAATCAAAAACTACTTTCAATTCAGTTAAAATATATGGTTTGTGTCTTTAGAAGTCTGTCTTTAAACAACACTCCCATGTCCATATGTACACTGAAATGGTTTACCAACCATGTCTTCATTCTGTGCAAAACATGCCTTTAAAGCTCCCTTGAAGCTACTGTGAGGCTTCAGGTGAACAAATCAAAGTCATTTTAGCACAAAATCCCTCTTTGTGTTTCCCTGCTAAGCAAAAAGAGGGAATGGCGTACTAAAAAACTTTTGGAGTTGCTCTAAGAAACCATTTCTTCCCAGCCAGTATGGAGAGGAAGACTCATTGTAATCAATTACGGTCAGTTTAGAGCACAAGTTGTTTAAAGTGCCAAAACAATTCCAAAAAGTGTATATGGATGATTAATTATTTTCTTTTCGAGGAGATAAACAAAGCTTGTGAAAAACTGTGAAATTTAGAAAATACATACAAAACAAAAGAGATCTTTGGCATCAATTTCCTCAATAAAAAAACCCCACTTCCTGTCACCAAGGTTTGGCTTCTCCTGTTTCTACAAAACATCGAGCTTTTTTTTAAAATATCTGGTATTGTGGGTGAAGTAGAAAATGTAATTTCTTAAACATGACCACTTGCTCAGACTGCTTCTGAAACTTCACACTCGTTCTTTAGCTTTAGCACTAACGTCAGCACATTTCATTCAAGCTTTTTCCTCCTTTTATCTCTTCACCCTGTGGCTGTTTGACTTCTCTCGCCCTCCGCACTCTTTGGCCCAGTGCTAATTTTCCGACTCCTAATGTGCTGCACTCTGCTGTGTGTCTCTAAACTTGACCCTGCTGACCTTGGTGAAATTCTCAGGAAATACAGATCACCGCAGGTCTCTGCATTCCTTCTGCTGAGGGCCTCTTCTTGCCATTGTGTATCTAGTCTTTTAAATTTTACTACCGAGAGCACACTACTAGAGATTCTTCCCCTTAACTAATGTGCTCTCCTTGACCACAGAAAGTTCTGTAGGTAAGGAATTCCACATTTTGATTCCCCAAATGAGGATTTACATAAGGGCACCTTATAATTCCTGTTGAATGCTCCACGTGTTACTGAGCCTCAAGCTCCGAGTGGAACCACAAGGTCACTGAGCCCCTGGGGAGCCTGGTTATCAAGGCATTTGTAGATGAGTTTAAGATTAAACAAATTAAATAAAATTATCAAAACTTAATTTACAAGGATCATTATGGTGTATAAACTGTTTTGATTCTCAAACTTCAATGCAAATGCAAAATTATAGTTGCCATGAAGCCAGGTACCACAATGAGAGAACATTAAAGGAAGTCAAGATTAAGGGGAACCAAAAGTGAAAAGGGAAAATTCTGCGTCTTAGTTGGAATTATGTACAACAAAAATAGTACTTCCTCTTCACTTCCAAAGTGCATAAAAATGTTTTTCCAAGATAACTACTGGAATTTCTATTTTTAAAAGGTCCAGCGTGAATTTAGTGTCATCTAGCGGTTTAATTGCAGATTGCTCCCAGCTCCCAACCTGTGTTTGGTTTGTACCTTCTGGGCTACTGTAGAAACATGGTGGCCTCCACAGAAGCCACAGCATTGGTGAAAACATATTTATGAATATTATATTCAATTTCTGCCAACAGATCTTCCTAAATGTCACACACTGGACCTTTAATTAATTGTTTTAATTAGTTATATGAGTTATTCCCATTAAAGAAGAGAGCTCCAGCTGTCTAAAATCTAGTTTAATTGTCACTTCACATTTTGGAGACTATAGCTGTGTCACATGTTCAGTGTGGTGCTGTGAAAACATACCATCTGATTCTGTTGGTTCTCCATTATAAGCATCGGCTCTGAAAATATGGACGTCGAGTAGCTCTGTGTCTCCAACAAATTCAAATTTGATGTTTCCGACCTTCTGAAGAGCATCCACCGTGAGGCCACTTTCCTCCAGCAGTTCTCTAAAAATTAAAAACATCAAGTAAATATTTGATAACGTGTATTTTTAGGACACTTCACACAGACACTAAAAGCAAGTGAAGATAGCAAAGTGATGATACCAGTCGTCCCCAGACAGGGAATGTATTTGCGTGGCCAACAAAGTCATTTTATCTTCTGAGCCAACAATGTTCGCTGAGATTTGGTTGACAGCTCCAGAAAATCTACAAAGTGTCTTTGAGTTGGCAACATTATTTTGGCAAATAGTTTATTTATTTAGTTATTCCTTATAAAAGTCTGTGTCAAAATGTCGAAACAAATACAGTCAAACACTATGATATAGCTTACAAGATTTGAATCTTGTGTCTTAGAAATCTCCATTCAGAGACACACAGCTCAGAAAGTACACATACACCAGTGTATAAGAATCTGGAGATACAATATGTATCACGATACAGGGGTTATGATTCAATATACTGCAATATATTACAATACTGTGAGCAACAGGACACATATTGCAATAAAAAAAAAAAATCGAATGTTAGGAAAACTGTCATTTTGCCTTTTGGTCATGGGCCCCGACTGGAGGATTAACCTCCAGGGACCTTTTCTTTGATCAGCCTGAGACAGCGCAGGAATCACAACATAAAGTATTTTACTGATACAGTGAACTAGGATTGTCCCTAATGCTTTTGCTCTAAAGTGTTACTAACACAGTCTTGAGATTTTCCTTTTATTTACCCATTCAACATTCTTTACACAACGCCCGTCTGTTTTTCATATTGAGAGCAGCTCGACCTGATTGCCTTCGGGGCTTCCTTCCTTCAGCTTTGGAACAAATTTCCTGCTGATGACTGATGATCACACATTGTTCAGACTCAACAATCGCTTATTTTGTAAAGCTTACAAACAACAACCACATCTTAACCTAGCTTATATTTTCTCTTTTTCTCATCCTCCTCTTAACACTTGAACACTACACATACATAAAATAAATACACATTGTTGGATTTTAAATACAAATACAGGTCCATATCTTCTTTGTATGTATGCCTGTTAAAAGGTGTAAGCATATCTACAATGGGATGACATAATGTAATACAAATCTTCTAAAACTTTTTGTAAGAAATCACATAACCGAAAGCTAAGGAAGGCTTTGTTTTTTCACACTTTGTACTTAAAGAGGGGATAAATATAACATGTTCTACTGATTTATGTCATAAAATGTTAAATAAAATTGGGGCCTTGACCTGTAAACCTTGCAACATACTGTATATACCCCAAACATCACTTTACTTTAAGCAACTTAAAAATAACAGAAAGGCTCTTAACACTGCAGGTTTCTGAAATCAACAGTGGGGATTAATGTTACCTCCTCGCAGCCTCTTCAATGCTTTCTCCATGTTGAACTTTGCCCCCAAAGCCATTCCACTTCCCAGCCCCAAATCCTCTCTTCTTCATGCCGAGCAGCACTCTGCCCGGCTGGACCACCAGCACCAGGGTCAGCAGCTTGGAGCTCAACATCTCACCTGTGCGAGAGGAAGGAGAGGAAGTCTAACTTTACAGACACACAATACAAAGGGCTGCCTGCAGCATCACCAGCAGCTGTATGAGCACAGCCGCCTCTGCTCTACCACACTTACCTGTTCAGTTGACCCAATGCGCCAAACCAACAGTGCAATAAGAAGGACACTTTAAAGGAGTTGTTGCATGAAACACTGCACGTTCAATGCCTCCCGCCCGCGCTGGTGTGTGGGACTGATTGGTCCGATCAGCGTCCGACTGGCGTCATCAGCCATAGACACGAGCAGCAGGACTGTGTTACCTTGAAATGGGTTCGACTACAAACTGCAGGGGTGGAACCCATTTAAATCCTCTCACCTGTTCAGTTCATATGAAAAATGCTAAATGTTTACAAATAATTGTTAATAATAATAATTACTAATAGTTAATAACTATATATTAATATTAATAGATATATAAGTGTATCGAAAATACAAAAAAAGTTTTCTTGAGATGATCACAGGTCATATCAACCCTTTGACAGTATTAATACTACAATTACGACCAATAATAATAATAATAATAATAATAATAATAATAATACAATAGCCTTTATTGATCCCCTGTAGGAGAAATTCGAGTTTGGCACAGCAGCACAGGAAATGTAGTGCAAACAGCAAATATAATGAGATTAAAATGAAAATATAATAAAAAATATATATAATAGAAATCTAGAATATAAAAAAGATATTCAACTTTATTGTATATAATCTATATATGGTCCAGATGGATAACTGGAATGGATAACTGTACATGTGCAATGTTACAGGGTATTGTGCCTGAGTCCAATACACAGCCTTAAGGGCGTGTGGAACTATTGTATTATATACATTATATTAACATAAAACAATAAATAAAAATCTTGATGAAGACGATATTCTTAGAAATGTATAAACTCAAAACATGACAGGTATTGAAATGAACAACAAAAAGTAAACATATGCCATAAAATTTAATTTCATAAATGATTTTATAAGAGGCAAAGTGCCTGATTTCCTCCGATATATCTTCCACCGAATCTATATTTAATAGAAAATGACATTATTATAGTCTCTATGTGATGAACGCATGAAAAACAGCCACTCTCCCAAGTAGGAACTATTGCTGTCACTGTTTAGAGGGGGACATATATCGCTATTACGCACAGTTTGACCAATGGCGAGTTGTATTCCCACACAAGCGCACATTAACATAGCGCACACATGACACTGCTCAGGCGAAGCAATGTGGTGCTTCTCCTTGCAGAGGAGGTGTCTCCACTCCTCGGTATGTTTGATGAAGACGTTAAAAGGTAAAAGTCCCGCCGAGCAGCGCTGGTTGCAGCGGCAGCTCAAAGACCCGTATGTCAAAGCCTCTCACGCACAACACTTCCGCTGCAGAAGCGCCTTCAAGCTCCTGGAGGTGGATGACAAGTTTCGGCTTTTACAGCCTGGATACAGTGTGGTGGACTGCGGAGCTGCACCTGGAGCCTGGAGCCAGGTGGCGGTCCGGAGGGTCAACTCAGCCGGGACAGGTAGCTGCGGACACACACACAGAGTGGACATAATACAGTGTGATACAAAACAGATGCAGTATTTTGAAGCTTGTGGGCTGTGTCAAATAGGTTATTATTCAACTCTGGTAACTTTTGAGGCCTCATATTAATTCCAGGTATAAAGAACTGTGAATCTTGACCACAAATTATTGGGATCTTGGTTTACTTAAAGGACCAGTGTGTAGATTTAGGAGGTTTAATTGGGAGAAATTAAATATATTATTTACAGGTATGTTTTCATTAGAGTATATTCACTTGAATATAGTGTTTATATATGTTTTTGTTGCCTTCGGATGACTCATTTAAATCTACTGCTGCGGGTCACCCCCCACGGAGTCCACCATGTTGAACTGCCATGTTTCTACAGTAGCCCAAAAGGGACAAACTAAACACTGTCTCTACATTTCACATCCTTTCCAAAATCTATACAAGTTGATTTTTATACTAACTAATGGAAGCTAGTGACTGCTTAGAAGATAAGAACATCTGAAGCACTTTTGTGAGGAGAAATATATATAATTATATATAATTTTGAGTACCGTAATTTCCGGACTATAAGCCGCTACTTTTTTCACTTGCTTTGAACCCTGCGGCTTAAACAATGATGCGGCTAATCTATAGATTTTTACGGGCTAACGGCCTCCAGGGGGCGCTCTAGCAGGAAGCGCAAGGAGCGAGACCAGACAGGTTTTTGGAAGAAGATAATGTGCGAGGGAAGACGCTAGTCTGTGTTTTGAAATTCATTCAGTTTTGAATTCATTCAGTCATTTGCGCCATCCATGCACACACCCTTTCATCATTGGAAAACACAAGGAAGAAAATGCACAATTGATTGCAGCTTTTAGTTAAAAAGCGCAATCGATCTGAGCTGTCGAAGAAGGAAATAGAGCTGCTGCACGTAAGCTTGGCATCCAATGAATTGATGGTTGAGACGGCAGCATTTATTTAATTAAACATTTAAAAAAATACTTTTTCTGTGTAAATATTCTTCATGTATACACTGGACACCTGCCGGCTTATAGACAAGTGCAGCCTATATATGTACACATTTTTTTTTCTTTTTAAATTTAGTTGGTGCGGCTTATATTCAGGTGCGCTCAATAGTCCGGAAATTACGGTAAGTTAGAATTAAATGAACAAAAAGATGAAACAAACAGTGGTTCTCAACCTTTTTCCTTAAGGTCCAATTTGTAGGTTTTTTTGTATCCAGCAGTGTATTTGCAGATTCCAACTCACTCGCTTCACCCCTTTCTAAGTGCAAGGGAGAAAAATGTGACTGGCCCAATCTAGAGCCAGTTTTTGATTTGTCCATTCTGGGCTACTGTAGAAACATGGTGATTTAATATGGTGGCCTCCACAAAAGGCGATCTGTGTTGTCTGTAGATAAAAAGTACAACATAACAATTTTTTTTTTTTTTTTTAGATGATTGTACACTAATAAAAACGTACCTATGAATATTATATTCCATTTCAGCCAACAGATCCTCCTGAATGTCACACACTATTAAAGGGACACCTTTTTCATCACTGAGTAAACTGACGACCCCTGACTAAGTGACATATTCTACGGCTTTTAATATGATATTCATTGCAAAACAACTGATAAACTGTACAATTAACCCAAATAGTGAACACAACAATTGCAGAAAGTTTATGTAATTTGTGACTAGCAAAATATTTTGTGTAAATACTGCATTGGAGATAAGGTTTCCTGATATTTGTAGGACAACAATAACAATCATACATAATAATAGGCTTCCTTTTTAGACAAATTCAGTTTTTTATCCTCTTGGGTGTCTGGCCATTGTTCTATTAGTTCTTTGTTTTAAATTTTCTAAAGTAGGACAAAGCTGTTGAGCAGTTAGTGAAGGCTCTTTAAATATTAAGTCAGGTCTTCACTGTATAATATCATTGTGTGTGTATATATATAAAGTTTTCTTCATTACACCCCTTAAAATCAAGAAAGCCTTGCAACCCTTGTAAAGCTTTGGCGACCCCTAGTGGAGGTTGGGACCCCCAAGATGAAAACCAGTGGATTAAAAAGCACCTAAAGGGACTTTTAGAGCTTTAAGTTAACAAATAAACCACCACTAATGCATTCAGCCAATTTCCAGTGAACCAGCTGGACTATTTGTAGCCAACCACGAATTCAACCAGCCAAAACTAACTATTTTGGAAGATTTCTTTGTTTGCACACACAGGGTGTATATTTAAGTGTAAGTATTTTTCCAAATAGATAATGTTATATTATTATAATTACACTGATCTCTTGTTTGTGTGGTTAGACCTGCAGTTCCTCACCGGTGGATGCGTGTTACATAACCACTTTGCTATCAGCCTGTGATGGAAGTAACATGCTCACAAGTATCAGAAATATCACTGAAATGTTTTCTTGCATCCTAGATCCAGACTTACCGCAGGGTACGGTTGTTGGCATTGATCTGCTGAATATACCAACTCTGGAAGGTGCCAACTTCCTGTCCAGTCATGATGTCACTGACCCCGCCACGCACGCCAAGCTGCTGGAGCTGCTCCCCAACGGCCAGGCTCATGTCATTCTGAGTGACATGGCACCCAACGCCAGCGGTTTCCGAGAGATGGACCACGAGAAACTCATCACCATGTGTTTGTCTTTGATAGACTTGGCTGAGAAGATCTTACAGCCGGGGGGCTCTCTGCTTTGTAAATACTGGGACGGGATCCTCGCTCAGAAACTCCAGGAGAAACTCTCGAGTGTGTTCGGTAGTGTTCGGACCTTAAAGCCAAACGCTAGCAGAAAGGATTCGTCTGAGAGATATTTCTTTGCTAAAATGTACAGAAAGCCAGTAAAATTATCATAGTTGTTTTTAAATTTTTCTAATGTGTATCCCTAAATGAATAATGTGGTGTGTGTGTTTTCTGAGGATTCACACAAGTGCACACTGTGAGTGAGCATTAAGGGGCTTACTTTATAACTGTGATCAAAAGGTGGCACTGTTGAGGCATCAGTAAGGCTCACAGCTGCAGGTACAGACACATTACATGCTGTTGGTGCTGATTTTTTATCCCTTCAAACTTAACACAGTAGCAGCAGTGAATCTGTAATATGTAAACCTGTGGAAGAATCATCGGAGTGATATTCCTCAAGAGCCCAACGCTGTCTCTTGTCTCAAGTTATTGTTTGCCCCACAGTGTTTGTTCTACACAGTCAGTTTGGTATTTGCTTTGTTACCCAAAGTCATTTACCAGTGCTGCTCATGCTAATAATTTGCACTGCCAGCCATGTAGAAATATGTAATCATTCTCTCATTGAGAGCTTATGAAGGGAAAACCTAATACATAAGAGTCACATACAGCATGACTAATGGGAAGTGGGATGATACTGAAGCTTGGCATGCTGCAAGTGTTGTCGGACTCTGCTCTGTGACAGTGGAGAGATGTCCATTTCCTGGGAAAGTGTTTTCAGCCCAGTAGACAGATTTTCTTGAAAGATTCATCTTTAAATCACTGTTGCTGAACACTTTGGAAAGTACTCTTTATTTTGTTTGTGTCTGTGCTTTTCATACAGAGTTTAAAACCACTGGTAATGAAATAAAAGGATTTTCCTATCAGAGCCACATTATAAAAGACACGACTCATATATTTCATGTCACAGCAATCTATATAGGGATTCACAGTATAGATCTTGCTGATAATGACATTTCGGCTCTGTGCATATGGAGTCTCGATGGGCTGTCTTCCTTTCTTAATACATCATTTCTCATGCATGTGGAATTAACTTTGTATTTTATGCCTTAATTATAGTCAACAGTAAAGAGATGACAGGAAATGACAGGAGAGAGAGAGATGGGCAATGGCAACCTCATTTACAAATAATAACAACCAAACACGTGCATTCTTAGAGCTAATCAGAAATGACCTATTTTGTACCACTTTTAAGCCAATATTACTAAAAATAAATCTGTGACACTTTTACTGTGAGGTTTGCTTGAAGCAAGATTATAAATTATTAATAAAGGGTAGTGAAAAAACGACATTTTCCAGCCTCTATACTGGAAAAGGATTTCTGTATTTCATAATAAAAGACAAGTAAGCAAGATTTTAATGGAGTTACTGATAGTTCACTGTTTGACAGTGCTAGCTAGTAATGTTAGCATTCACTCTTCCAGGGTAAACTGCAGCAAATGGTTGGTAGTGGTTCATTTATGAGCTCACCTCAGTGACATGGGAATATGGAGGGATGGGAAACACTGTTCAATGTGACAGCCAGCTAAGCTAACCTTATAGGTAGGTATAGGTTCAAGCCAACACGCACAGCAGCATGAAACTGTTGTAAAACAGGTGCAGTTGTTTTCCCTCATTTGTCTTTTGAAAGGAATTTGATAATGTTATCTGGTGTTCAGCTGTTTTCCCTCAAATTATTATTATTAATGCCAAACCCTAATCTTTGGTAGCCTGACTTCAGCTTTTTGAAAGGGAAGGTTGCCTAGAAGCCCTCCTGAAAGCATCAGCGTAATTACCATGCGTTAACCATAAAGTTTATGGGTTAACCTTATTGACAGTGGACTAAACCATCTGCAGCTTGTAGAGGGGGGAAAACCCATGAGAAGCTCTAACTTTGTTTTAGATGCAGTCTAGGAAAGTAGTTTATTTAGCCACCAATAATATTGTACAAGCAATGTCAAGATTTTAAATTGTAGATTAAAAACAAACGTTTAATTCCAGGCTTCTTGGTAGCCCTCAACATGTTTTGGCCCTAGGTAGTTTGTTCCACTACTGGCCTAATAAGCAACAGTTAGAGGTTATGTATTATGGATGCTGTGCGTAAATGGAAATAACCTTTTGGGAGGGGATTATAAATCTGAATTGTGTTTAAGAAACTATTCGATTAAACTTTATGGAGGTCAATAAGGATTTTTGCTAAATTTCAGGGTGGCCCATATAGCAAACAAAATTTCATTTTTACTTGTTCCAGCTGAATACGTGTTCCTTGCGTAATTGGAAAATCTTAATTTCATACAAAAATAAATTTTTAAAATTACCAATAAACTATTATTGCTATTGAAATCAGATTACTCTTTAATTGATGTTTAAAGTTTGATCATCTCACAAAGCAAACATTGTAAGCCTAATCAAGACTGAATTTGCATTTATGGCAGCAAAGGAATAGATGCCTCACATGAATAAATTAAACAGACTGTTATTTAGCCTTTCTGTCTCAGGAGTGATGAGTAATACAGTATGAACTGAAACATTCGTGCCTCTTGGTAAAATGAACTGCACTGACGGGGTACTGACCTCTAAAGATGATTGTTTGGAATGAATGGGAGCAGCCATGCCTGTTGATGAAGCTGATAGTGAAAGATGTGAACAGATGACCAATTTTACTTCTCATTACTTGTTGATTATTCAGCCCTTTGCTATTTAGATTTAAATTATTGCCAAATTACTGTGGGATTTATGTAAATTCCACTGTGGCTGAGCACTCCTGCTCAGGATGAATGATGATTCATTCACAGGTTAATTCATTCTTCTCCGGCCAGCTGCAGGTTCAGATGTAAATATTAGTAAATTGAGAGAGAAAAACTGTTGGAGAGCTGCAAATTTTCAATTCAGATTTGATGACGAAATGCTGTAATCGCCTCTATAATTGTCTGAGTTTTGAAAATAAATCTGCTGCACGAAAAACCTCTTTGAACTGCTTCAATGTTTTATTTTTTTGTTGTTGAATATGCCCGTATGCACTGTAAAGAGCAATGCTATTCAGGGTGTCAAAGGTAACATGCTAATATGCTTCACAACAGCTTATATACTTCTGTTTAACAATATATATGACATATTTTAATATATGTCAATATCAACTAGTAAAACACTGATTGCTGTCATTTTATATGCAAGAGGTAATTTATGATATATTATGAGTACAATCGGGTGCCTTTTACTGTTACCTTAATGTATTATCTGGAAATTGTTGAGCATAAGCACAATCTTTGGGATAAAGTCTTTTTTTTAGGTTATTATAAATAAAATTGCTTGTGTGAGGGTTTATTAGATACATCTGCCTTATCCTGTGTGCTCAGATGTTATTTGCTCTGGTGTCAACGGCCTGCAGAAGACATAAAATTAGAAAAGCCTTTGAATGGTTGGAAATCAGATTTGATCTTGTTCCACCGCATGCATGCTGCACGGCTGGTGTCTTTGGAGTGATTTGGAAAATGTCATCATTTCTGGATGCAAACTAGCAAATTATGTTTGTAAGATGCAACAAAATTCAAACATTTTGTGAAGAATGTTCCTTTTGAAATTTTGCTTGGTCTCAATAATAAAAACAAATACACTCTCTAATATTAACACAGTGGAAGTCTCAAATTGACAGGAAATTAAAGAAATGGTAATATCATTTCTTACCATCGTGCCATTCATTCCCTTGGCTGACCTGAGTTGCCAAAATGAATTGCTCGTCTGACAACATTCATTATTCCCTGAGCCTGTCCCTGAATGTTAGCAGACCGAGCCAAGCAGGCATTCACTGACACAAAGTAATGACTACTATTATGATGATAATTTCATACCATCTTTACAAATAAATGAATCTGAAATCTCAGGACAGTATATGCCGGCTGCAACTCTTTTTATTGGTACCACTTTCAGTTTATGATGTCGATGTTTTGGCAAGCCATTTGACATAATGACACAGGGAAATTTCTCTGTAAACAACTGACTTTCTCAGAAAATGTGGGAGTTTAAAATGAAGCGTGCAATTAAGATATTCATGCCTGTTCAAACATGATATTGGAGGCACAGCGCTTCAGTGATTCTCACGCCATGACGTATTAAAGTTTGCCAAAAACTTCCAGGTGTTTTGTTTCTGCTGCTGTGGCACTAGCATACAGAAGGACACATGTCAGTGAATAATCAAGCAATCGCCTCATGATCTTTGCTTTTTTGAGGTTGCTGCAGTCCTGCAGAAAAATGTCAGGAACATTATTGCAAACAGGGTGAAGGATGGTTGTGGGAGGAGGGTTAAAGAGACAAGGGAAAAACAAAGCACAAGCTACAGAGAACAAACAAAGCACAGGTTATACTCAGTGGCACTATTTTACATCCTCAAATCAGCCTGACATTTACGAGCAGGCATGGAAATTGAATGCAGATGGAAAGCTAATAACCTTATGTTAACATTCCTACTGCCAATGTGGATTTCCTTCAAATAATTTATCAGACGTTTACCTTTTAAGTGTATAAGGTTTAAGCAAAGAAAAATGTCTATAAAGGCAAGTTTTAAAATTGATGTGTAATAGAAAGAGAGGAAGCGGAGGATGGGGACTATATATACTGTTGGTTTTTACAGCCTTTTCCTCCATTGATACACTAACTTGTTACTAATCTTTATTAGTAATTGCAAAACTTACTAGGGAAGGTCTAAGCTGATAAAACATTATGCCTAAAAGTGGCAGTTCTCTTCATCAAATCCTTTAAACGCTAGTATAGCTTTAAACCCTTTGGAACTCATGAATAATAATGCTTCATTATCGTCATCAGCTATCCTTTGAAGACCAAAAAGACCACTTATCAGTCTTTGTAAACACTCCAAGCATCTATAATGGTTAGATCTTAATATCATGTTTCCTATGAATCAACAGTATGAATTTGATTTTCTCCCTCTTTTGATACACCTCTTTTTTTTTTTCTTGTGAAGACATTATCCATTTCTAATCTGCATAAACCCAGATGATTTGTTTTGTCAAAATACTGATCACTTCACATCATTTACAACATTTTGCTGTTGGTGAATGAAGAAGACGACAGTGTAGATTCTAGTAAAGGAGTCAACTCCAAAATCAAATGATGTCGATGTTTTGGCAAGCCATTTTACATAATGACGCTGGGTAATATCCTTTTGCAAAAAAACTAAATAACAGGTTTTAAACTAGAAAAGCTTAAGGGTGTCAGTGAAGCACTGCCATTTTTCATTATGCAACTTTGTCTTGCTATGAGGGTCCAGTGGTGTAGTGTAGAGTATATGCAGACATACGAAATATACCCACTTATTTACTTATTATTCAGCCAGCATTGAGTACACCCATCTCAAATCTCCTCTTATGTACATCATCATGTCTTCTGCTAGCTGAATTTGTTTTCCTAGGATGGCAAAGGCCTGATGTAGTTTTTTCATGGATGGAGTAAGAAATAACAAATACTTTGTTCAAAATGTGTAATTATGTAGATAGCCTGTGTGCCAGTACTGATTGTGATTCAGTGGATGTACATAACACTGTTTATAACACAGGGCATTTATCTTTGGTGGATGGTCACTTTGAAAAAATTGGGACATCACTGCTGTGAGGATCCACAAACTGGTCATTGGCTTGTGGATGATGTCGAAAGAGCCACTGCAAAGAACTAAAGTGACTGCTGATTTTAGTCATTCAAATGAGACTCAAAATGCTGCATGAAAGCTACTGTTGGTAAGTGTGAGAAATGGGTGGATCTGGATTACAACTGTCACCTCCCTCCCCTCCCCTCCATATCTGCTGCACTTAAGCCCTGTCTGTAAATATTTATAGACCCAAACTACCTGTCTACTGTGTTTTACTCTAAAAGGAGAGGGTACAGTGAAACACCCGAAGAAAACTCTCCTTCAAATTTCTTTCAGTTTAGTTGTAATATGTTTTTAGATAGAATGAGAAAATTCTAACATGTGTTACTGATTTAGGTTTT